ATATATCTAATAATTGACTTTTTTATTGAAAGAGTCTAAGAAAATTCAATGCTTTGAAGAAGTATTTAAGTGTATGAGATATACAAACAAGATAATTGACACATTTTATCTATTTCTTTTTCTTTGAGCGTTACATATAAAAATTATTCAATTATAAAAATTATAAAGTGGTTAAACTATTTTTTTGATGAGTCATAATATTTAAGTTATTTATTCAATGTTATCAAGAGAGAGTATTATTAAATTATTAAAAGAAGAAATAACAAAATTAAGTAATTAAGAAGCAATATTTTCCTTGTTTGAAATTAAATTAAATAAATTTCATATTCTCAAAAGTTTTATATTAAATATAATTTCATAACAATAATAAATTATTTTTAAAAAAAAAACAAGAAGAATTTTTTATAATATTATCTGTTGATTAAGTATATTCTCATAATAAAATAAAAGAACACAAAACATTTAATAAACCACTAATTGGCAAGGTTAGAATAATGTTGGTATAATGCTTTTGCTAAAAGAACAAGATGAGAAGCATCAGGTCTTAAATCAATATTTGCTTCCCAGCATTTCTGAATAGCATTGAAACAATCATCTTGAATTGGTTCTATTTGTGGTAATCTTTTTCCACTTTGGACAAACATAGGAACCGACCATGAATTTGGGAACAGAGCTTTGTTTGAATAAGGTTTGATAAATGAGCACGCTTCATATAACATAACACCCATTGAAAATATATCAACAGGCGCTTCATAATGTTCTCCATTTAATATTTCTGGAGCCATATATATTGGAGTTCCAATACCACTTGTAAACGTTCTATTCTTTCTAATTATATTAATCATACGAGCACTTCCAAAATCAGTTAATTTACCACATATATCTGCATCAATATTATTATTAACAATAAGAACGTTATCAGGTTTAATATCTCTGTGAATAATTCCATTATTATGAAGATACTCAACACCTTTTGCAGCGTCTAAATAAACTCTTAAATTCATTTTTAGATTCTTCTTTTGAATGACATCACTAAATGATCCAAATTCTGCCAATTCCATAATAAGACTAACATTTCCATTAGTTTGAACACATCCATAGAACCTAATAATACATTGACTCTTAACTTTATTCAACATTTCAAGCTCTTTTTCCATTTCATCTATATCATTTGTTTTCATCTTTTTAATAGCAACTGTAATGTTTCTATAAACTCCTTTGTAGACCATACCAAAAGAGCCTTCTCCCAAAAATTTATCTTCTTTTAATTCATCAGCATCAATAAATGGAGACATTTCTGTTTGAGTATTAATTCCAATATCAATATCCTTTTGAATACCTTCTTTATAATCCAAATAAACCAATTTAATTGAATTATTAATAGAACACGTACAATATGGAGTAATAAATACTTGAAATTCACACGCTTCTCCATGTTTTAATTCAACAACTGATGGGTCTGTTCTAATTTCATATTTACAACTTTCTACTGATGTCATTTGAATTTTTAATTTCCTTTTATCCAAATTACCAATACAAATAAGGTCTTTTGATTCTTTATTTACAGGTATTTCAGTCTTCGTTTCATCAAAATGTAAAACTGTTTTACTAATACAAATTGGTGAATTTGGTACTTGTTTAAACATTACATTTGATCGTTTCATCAAAAAGACTCGCATCTCTTTTTCTTGTTGCATTTTTCTTCTTCTTAAGAATACCATAAATATAATGATAATAAATAATAATAATGCTCCAACTATCACACCTAAACTAACTAATGAAACTGCAATTGGTACAACAGACTTTGCTTTCACTAAACAAACCAATCCATCTTCATCAACTTGATATCCTCCTTCACATGAAACACAAATTGAATTTTTAATTTTTGTACAATGAAGAATTCCAGATGCATTTACACATTTACCTGATACCAAAGCATGTGTATAATCACATTTTATACATATGCCACTTCCTTGTTCACACTCAAGGCAGTACTCATGACATTGAAGACAATGATGATATGGTAAATATGCTTTATTAAGACTATCATAATTTGTTAAATACGTGCCATTCTCACA